TTGTTCTCTCCTCTAGCCTTGGATTATATCATTAATAATTCTTGAGTCACACAGGCTGGTGTGCTTCTTCCATGAAATTATCTGTCACCTTAATAAGATGGCTGCTTGTATTAAGACAAGCATTTAAAATTCCAGATGGTATTCATTCTGATAGCCAGGCACCAACTGATTTCTTTACCACACTTTGCTATCCTACCCATATCTTCAGTGATTTTTCTCAGGAAAGTATTGAGTAGGTCACAAGAACTAATTGTTCTTAGATAAAGGCGACACATAGGGAAGAACTGAAAATCCATCCATCTAGCTCCAGGAATTGATGGAATACCAAATTGGAGGCAAATTGGAATACCAAATAGAAACTGTTAGCACTCACTCATCTATGCCAGTAAATTTTGTATACCACTAATTGGCCAACTGACTGGAAAAGGTCCATATTTTTACCCATGGCAAAGAAAGGTGACCCAACAGAATGCACAAATTGTAGAAAAGTATCATTATTTTCACACGAAAGTAAAAATGTGCTGAAGATCATGAAACATCAGTTGCAGATGTAGATTGATGGGGACTGCAAGATCAGATTCAAAAGAGATTGATAGGGGTTGCAAGAGGGTAAGGTCAGATTCAAAAGAGAACTTAGAATGAGGAACATAATTGCTGATGTCAGATGGGTCTCTGTTCAAAGGACAGAACTCCAGAAATATGTTTATTTGTGTTTCTCGGACTATATGGGTCATAAAAACCCATGGATCACCTTGAGAAGAAAGGGAGTTTCAGAACACTTCATTGTGCACATGTGGCACCTGCAGATGGATCCAGAGGAATTTCTGCAAAGAGAGCACGGGAACAGTACATAGATTAAAATCAGGGAAGGTGAGGGCCAGGGTTGTAGCCTCTCACTGCGCTTATGCAATATGTATGCTGAGCAAATAGAAAAGACAAAAGGTCAGAAAGTCTGGATTTTATGAAGAACTCAGCATCAGTGTCAGAGGAACACTTATTAACAACCTGAGATATGTAGCTGACCCAAACCTGAATGCTGAAAGTGAGGAACATTTGAAGCACTCACTATAAAGATCAAGAATTGCAACCTTCAGTATGGATTACAACTCAATGTAAAGAAAGTTTTTAAATCCCCACAAATGGACCAATAGGTACCATGATGATAAATGGAGAAAATATTGAATTTAAGAATTTCATGTTTGAATACACAAACAATGCTCATGGAAACATCTGTCAAGAACTCGAAGTACACATTGCATTAGGTAAATCTGTC